CACGTGTCGCCCGTTTAGCCGGCGTGCAGTGATATGCGAATACAGCGGGATTTTGATCGACAGGCGCACCGCCTTGTTGTTGCGGCACATGGAGTGCGCTTCGCACGTAGTGAACGTGCAAATGCAGCACCTGTACCTTCTGGGGTTTCATACGCCTTTCCCTTTGCTTGGCGGGGGCGCATTCATCAACGATGGCCGATGGAATACTAGGGGGGGAGAGGGGCCCGGCATTTGCGTTCGGTTTCGGGTTATGTTCGATAAGCACAGAGCCACCCAAAGAGTCGTCGTCGTGGCTGTTAAAGACATACCCAAGGGCACTGAGCTCCTCACCTCCTACGATAATGACTACTGGAGACTGCAGCAGGGCATACGTGCACAGCGAACGAGCAAATGAACTATGTTTAGCAGTACTGAGTGTCTACATTATTCGTATATTCATTTAGTATTTATCTCTTACTTTGACATGGCAGACAGCGTTTTCGTCCTCCATGGGAATAGTGTGGGACAGTGCACACGCACACAAACAGTCTGTGTCGTGTGCATGAGTAGATAAATATTTGGTACTATGGGATGTATGCATTTATACGTTTTTCGATATAACGAATGTGATTGGCATAGTTAATGTGGATTTTACCACAATCGAAGAGCTCCTCCGTCCGAGGGACGGGGGGAAGCTGCATGTTGCCAGTATGCAACGGAACATAAGTATTCTTTTGTACGTGGTGTTTCCCAGCAAACTGCTGCTCCAGTCTTGGCTCCGTGGAGGTCACTGTGCAGCTGCGGCTACTGGGCAAGAGAAAGGTTGGCTGACACAGCGGGCAGATAGACGGAGCTGTGCCAATATGCAGAGTGGAGCATTGGCATGCGGAGGGAAGTTGCGGTTTAGTGGAAGAACGCGATCTCCAGAGAAAACAAACATAGAGCCAGAGGGGAAGAGACGAACAAGGTCGGGAGAGCCAATGTAGAGATAAGACTCAGGCTACAGCACAGGCAACGAAGTAGATCGGACCATAAATCAACACACTGTTGATAGCAATACAGATAAGGGCACGGTGAGGCGGAAGGCCAATAATGAACAGTAGTGTAGCGAACGGTAGAGCCTATTTATGAGGTGCATGATGCAGAGGAGACGTGTTATCTTCCGATGAGTGGCGACAATTTTAAGTACAAGGTGACAAGGAGCAAGCAAGAGTTGCACTGAACAGATGGGTGTTAACCCCGAAAGTGTATATTATGCGGCTTATTTATTAGCCCAAGGGCTGCAGCAAAAGCCGTCGGGAAGATTCACGCCTGATATAGGACCACGACATTCGTGATACCTCAGCTAAGGTCGAGGTCCCTTGTTACCCTCCTCGATTGTGCTTGGATTAGATTGGAATCTGCCTCCATGAGCAGCCAATTGTCTGAATAGTTAGTAATAGTTAGTTCCAATGTACGTAAAATGTACTTTTTAGTTGACTCAAAGGAACACAAACCCGATGCATCCGCAGAACACCTATGGTCCGCCGAACCGCAGGAGGGTCCTAAGTATGCCTTCGACTGCCTAAAACTGCACACATAAAGTAGAGCCCACATTTTTGTCAAATCAGTTAATCTCTCGAGTATTCTTTTCATGAATTAGCTGTTGCACATGACTACGCGTTTTTCTTCCGTCAGGGCTCGGCTTGCATTGCATGCAGCGGCTTCCCCACCGTTTTTGTAGCAATTGAATAGTTTGCGCATTTCCCCCCTATAAAAGCTTGCCTTCTTTAATTGAGCATTCTGAGATAAACTGCAGAAGAATCGTCGAAAATGAGCGAACGGCTCCTTACAAACATCGGCCGCCTCGGCGTTGCCATTGGGTTTTCGGGCGTTGTGGCCAAGTCGTGTCTGTACGACGGTAAGCTGACAATTGTGACATATGTACCTTCAACCACAAACCCCGAAATTTTGAATCCTAAGCTCTAAGTCTCAAACAGCTTTATTGGCCGGTTCATTCCCCCGCTGCATTGGTTGAGTGACTCCCTACGGTATGGGAGGTTTTAAATGCCAAGCACTGTGTTTGAAGACTTTTCCCTAAGATAGGCACATTGTTATGCCTCCGATTCTGGGAAATATATGCATACGTCGAGTGTAGAGACGCCAGTACGGTGATGCAACTGGAAGCGAGCTAAGCGGAAGGTGGTAGCTGTTGTTTCGTCTGGATCACTAAACCGACATCATGCCTTGTCACTAACATGCAGAGGAGCAGCAATACTTGCAGACGAGAACATTAACTGATGCGCCGCCGATTGGTGGAGAGAATGCTACAGGCGTGCATCGGCACATCAATAGAGAGCAGTGCAATGTGAATTACGTGCATACATAAAAGCATGGATTTCATGTTTCTATTAGCAAAGGGATATATGCAATTTTAGCGTCATTTGCGCATGCGTCATTGGCAACGATTTGTGAAGGTATACTTGCAAGACCTGATGGCAGAGTACTCCGTACACTCGGAACATATTTATTGAGGCCTATATTTGGTACAGAATTGCACTGTAGTACAGATGTAGAAGGCAGTCCTTCTCGTATTTTCGGCGAACCTGTTGGCTGCTGCAAATGACTTTGTGATGTGTGCGAGGGTGCGGATTAGCTAGGTTTACAGACGGGCACCAAAACAACCGAAGGGGAATATTTGCATAATTCTGTGTGTCGATGTGTGTGTATGTTTGTGTTTGTGTCTTTGTATTCGTTGTGTTGTGTGGCGTTCGTTTGCAGTGGATGGAGGCCAGCGCTGCATCATGTTCAATCGTTTTGGGGGGGTGTCCCAGCGACCGATAGGAGAAGGCTTGCATTTTTTTGTGCCGTGGTTGCAAGTGCCGTATATCTACGACATTAGGACTCAACCGAAAGTCATCACAACAACTACAGGCACGCGAGATTTGCAGATGGTGTCGCTTTCCCTGCGCCTCCTCTACCGGCCCAACGAAAGCCGCCTCCCCGTGCTGCACCAAACCCTTGGCCCAGACTTTGCAGAGAGGGTGCTGCCTTCTATTGGCAATGAAGTGCTCAAGGCTGTCGTCGCCAGATACGATGCGGAGAGCCTCTTGACACAGAGGAACAGGGTCTCGCAAGACATTCGAGAACAAATAACACAAAGGGCCAAAAACTTCGACATTGAACTCGACGATGTTGCCATTGTACGACATTCGTGCTACTGCTGCTGGAGGCTCCAGCTGCACCACGTTTTTCAGCTCTTGTTGCAGCTGATGCTGGGACTGTATCTGCATGCATTTGCAGGTGTATACGATGTAACCTGTGGAGATGTGGCACTACAGTCCATTTGTGCCAGTGCTAACCCATTTTAGCAAGTGGTCAACGCTGTGTACCAACGCATTGCGTTCTCGCAGTAGCAAACTTTCCCCGTTTCCTTGTAGGGTATTTGTACTTTTGTTTTGGTGTGTATCTTCTTGTGTTCATTTGTATATACCAGTCTATTATTATAGCATTTGTGCCTTGTTCTTTGGTGGGCAAGCACTGTATGAGTGTGCCGGTGAATATGCTGTGTGTCTGGCTGGACATCTTCACGTTGTGTGTGCACGTGCTTGTGCCACTTCCCGATACTCAATTATGACCCTTTATTCCAGCGGGAAAGGGTTTATATTAGCAGCGTCTATACGCATTGTACTTTATGTCATGCTTCCCGCTCCATCTGGCGGACTTAGGGAATCCTGTCGTACAGAATGCGGAGCACGCCACGCCACTCCAAATATTTGTTTTCACTGAACTAGCGCTGAATATAAGGTTAACGGTCGCAGACATTGGTGAAACAAAACATGTGTGACGCGGTTGCATGAATATTTGCATATATATTCGCCTTCATAGTAAATTTGCATACTTTTAAGTGGATTCGAGCTCAATGCATTGCGAAGTCCGTGCACATGTACATTTGCGTTGAGTGCTTGTGCATAGGCCTGTGTACATGCTTATTCCATGCAATAGCGCGTGCTTCCAAACTCAAAGTTTCTTTATATCCATGTGTATGGCTGTTTTTATACCTGCATGTTTGCGTATACAGACTCATTTGAGTTATGGAAAGGAGTTCTCTAGGGCGATAGAGGAGAAGCAAGTGGCGCAGCAGGAGAGTGAACGAATCAAGTTTGTGGTTGCGATGACAGAGCAGGAGAAAAAAGCAGCAATTGTAAAGGCAGAAGGTGAAGCAGAAGCTGCTTCCCTCATTTCAAAAGCCATTAAGGAACACGGTAGCGGACTTATTGAAGTTAGGCGCCTCGACGCAGCAAAGGAGATTGCGGAGGCTTTGGCGAAGTCGAAGAACGTCACATATTTGCCTCAAGGAGTGAATATGCTCCTCTCACAGCCCTAAATGCACAAAGGACGCTGACGCATCATTGGTCTGCAGGTGCAGCTTAAATGGCCTACCAGCGTGTAAATGAGCAACGAAAGAGCTTCACGTACACATGCAAGTGTTGGCATGAATGTGCGTATAATAATGAATGTGCAGATGCATAGTTTCGGGCATATGGGTCGGCATGTGCACAGTTAACAACCCATTATGTGGTGGCTACATAAGTTGCAGACTTTTCGAAGGTCCAGCAACACAAGATCCGCGCGCCATTCCGGTGAAGGACGATTGTAACCAAAGTACATCGACAGCCTAAGCCGCAAATGGCACGTTGGTACGTAAGTGGAAGCAGGAGGAATAGCTTCAAAAGGCATACGAGACGGAATAGTTTGGTTATCCTGGTTGGCACACTGCGAAACCCCAGGAGTGGTGAGCAAGGATGAAACGGTTAAAGGGTTTAAGGTTTGGAACTCCAGAGTAATGTTTGCTTTGTGATCTCTGGCGTTAAACACTACAAGTTTTATAGTCATTTAGACGTAGTGCTTCAGTGATTTCCCTGAATGTACTTCGTGCAGATATTTACCTAGCTTAAATAGGGACTTGCACGCTTGGGAGTGTTTGCCGTAGCATTCAAGAGTTTAGCCAACGAATAACTTGAGGACGCGTGGCTGCAGGGGCAGCACAAATACAATGCCAAATATGAGAAGCATGAACGAGAGTCTCAGGCTCCCCTTCCAACTTGTGCCTGTTCGGACGCAGCGCAAGTGACGTATATAATGTTTGTTGCCAAAATTTATACCTGTAACAAAGGAAATGAAAAAGCGCCTTTCATGCAGGCGAGGCAATTCCCTTGGTACAAAATACGCAGGAAAAGCGTTCACGTAGGAACGCAAATCCCGAAAAGTGCAACAGACGCTGGTCCGTACTGAATAGTTGAGGAAGGAATTGCCCCCTACCTATCCCATCATGGACGGTGACGAGATGTTCTACTTCTACAGTTGTCTTGTATATGCAGCATTACACATAATTCACTGCATAGAATGTGGTGTGCGGTTACAATATTCATGTGCCTTCAATTTAGAAGTCGTCTTCCAGGATGTCATATCACTTGAGTGGCTACCCTTCCGACAACATATGGCTGCAAGTTTTGAATTGATTTTGCTAGGCTATTTGCACATTGTAGCATTTCACTGCACATGGCAGTGCAATGCCGTAAGCTGACCGACACTGCGCCATGCAGAGCGTATTTTGCAGGTTTGATCAATGTAATGCTCCACGTCGATCTGGCACAGATGAGGAACTAGTCAAAACGCTGGCTGTCTGAACAGATGAACAGGAGCCAAAAGCGAATCCCACACTGCGCCTTTTGACACTGAAATTGCTACGTGAAGCTTGCTTCAATTTAACGCTGGAAACGGGTGGCAAATTGAAGGAGAGTAACAGATTACACCACTGAACATATTAAAAATGAAAATGTAGACTCATTGTTGTCCGAAGATGACTGATTTCTACTCCCAGCCCCCTTCCTCCAGGCCCAGCAAATGCTCGCGAGCTGTTGTCGTGATCGCCACAGCTTCTGTCTTGCTCGTTCCCTGCAGTAAGCGCCTTCTTCTTATGCATACTAAGAATTTAAATATTAAATGCGAGTCAATAAAAAATTTTAATAAAAGATCCGTGGAGAGAATTGCGGAAAGAACGCACTTTACTCTGTATTGGGGCTGCATGCATTCAGTTCGCGTATGGGGACTACGGAGCTGTCCTGAGCTGTACCCTCCCTACGCCTCAATTCTTTCACTGAAATCCTTTCTTGCTTCCTTTTTGGTGGCTTTGGAGAATTTATTTCAAAGCCAGTCATGCCAGCGCAACCGGGTGGGGGGGTATGTCACCACACTCTGGACAGCTAGCGAACGGCCCCTGCATTTATTTCTGGCTTGCCTCCATCCTTGCTTTTCCCTTCGTCGCCAACTTATAAATAGGTGATTTGGCCAACTCAGGAGGCCACTCATCATTACTGACGGGGGAGCCACTTGCCGAGACGTTCGTTGCTGCGGAGCAACACCCGTGGGAACCCAAAGCAAGCATTGCTTCTGCCGTGCATGATTGCACTTGCAGCGTTGACCTCCTTCAGCTTAACAGCTGCACTCGTAAGGTCATTTTATGGTTTGCAGTCAAGCAGGAAGAGGGTTTGAAAATGCGGAGCTAGGAGACGCCGTCCACCGCCGCAGCGAATGCTCGCGCCTTTCTTGAGGGGAGAACCGCGTGGCTCCTGTTATTTATCGCTTCTTGACCTTGCGGAACAGCAGGGCTCTGGGGAATTACATATGTAGGAATATATATTTCTACTGCTAAAGTCGTTGCTTTCCTTCTTTTCTCCCCGGCGGCGACTCTCTGTAAAGGGACGGCCGAAAGGGCATCTGTCCGTCTTGTTTGTGAAGGTGTAATTCGCCGCAACTGATTAAGGCAGCCTTTCTATTGCATTAATGCATGAAGGAAGCAGCAAAGAATGCAGTTTGAGACGATAGTGCGTACCGAGCCCCCAGGGTCTTCTGGGCGTCGCTCTCTTTGGGAGGAGGATACCTCCCGCTGCGGCTCAGCAGAAAGCACGACGATAAGGCTATGCGTGCACCTTTTCTGCGCTGCGTGCCTGGGTGCTTTTGTGCTTTGGGGGATCAAAGCCGATCCTCCTGTCAAGGGTTTCTTTTGCAACGACACCAGCATCCGATATCCCCTGAAGGCGGAGACTGTCCCCGCCAATTTGGCGACTGTTATCGTCATTGGTGTTCCTGTAATTATCTTCGTGTCTGTGGAGGTGTTGCAAATACTGGTGGTCGATAGGAGCGGCCCCTCCAGTGTTTCGTTAGTTTGCTGCTCTGTACCTAAGATACTCGCCGACATGTATCTGGTGTTTGGGGGTTTCGCCTTCGGGCTTCTCTTGAACTTTTCACTAGCAAATGTGGCCAAGCTGTGCATTGGCAGACTGCGGCCTCATTTTCTTTCAGTCTGTCAGCCAAATTGGAATGCTCTACAGTGCACCGACACCACAGGCGACCTGTACGTGAACGTGTATGAATGCCGTGGAACAGATCTGGCAGCGATCAAGGAGGCGCGTCTCAGCTTTTTCTCTGCTCACAGTAGCAATTCTAGCTGTGCTATGATATACGCTCTCATATATCTCCAGTATCGCCTCACAAGATCTTACTATGGGTCCCTCATGCCTTCATTGAGGCAAAGACAGAGGAGCGGCAGCAGGGCGCAGTGGGCCTGGGATACAGCAACTGCCTTGCGTCCTTTCATTCAGGCAATTCTTCTCATTCTTTGTCTCTTCATTGCCCTTTCCCGTGTTATGGATTACTTTCATCATCCGACAGATGTTCTAACGGGCCTATTTGTGGGAACAGTTGTTGCTTTTTACTCTGCCTTCTACGTCAGTAAACTGCATCTTCTTGGTCGCATCTAACAAGAGAGGTCCGTCTGCTGCTGCTGCTTGGGGCTGCATGCAACTGCACGAACGATGATTAGCGGCTAAGGATGCCGACAAACTGAGGAAGAAAAATGGAAGGAGAGCTATGATGCAGGTGCTTACAGACAAGGCGACAACAGATCGGCACACCAAGAGATATAGTCAAACTCCTTGCATGCAGGCTGAAGGTTTTAGAGGGCCCAATTCTGAGGTGAAGGAGGAAGTAAAAAGCAATCAAGGCAGGCAAGAGAGCTACGCAGGTTGTGACACAAGAAGGGATCGCCGCAGCAAACAAGAATCAACGTTGGTTACCAAAAACACAAGTTTAAACTTTGCAGGAGTAAGTTAAATGAATCCCGCAGGTTTTCATTGCATTGTGGTTGTAATTATGCAGTCGTGTGTAAAAGTTCAACCCACAGCAGCACCGAGCAGGTTCTAATTTGAACCAAACGCTACAGGTTCCTTAATTTGTGACAATTTTATGGTGGCTTCAAAAAGGATGACCTCAATGCAGAAGGGGAGAAGAAATAATCCGTTAAAATTCGCGGCAAAAGGAAATATTGTTTCGTCTTAGAATGCACTGAGGAAAAAGGGTCCCATTCTTTCCCAATAATTTCTTCAACTTCGAGAGTTCGTTTTGCGCTCAGCTGTCTCACATGCTACGGCCCTCCCACCCAGCCCACTTTTCTGTATCTCCGAAGAGCACATCCCTTCTCTTGCATTTATATTATTTATGCTGTCGATTATAACCTTGAAACACCTCATTCTTCTCAAGCACTTCGTGCACATTCAGTTGTTCAGTTGTTCTTGCACACAACTGTTTTCCATGCTACAGCTCTATGCTTGCTTGCACTTCTTCATATCTGAATAGCTTATCTATCTACATATGTTCGTCTAAACAGAACACATCGTAATTTACATGGGTCTTATAATGGGATGGGGAGATTATTTGGCCACAAACTAGACAAGCATGCAGCTTGTTTTGTTCTTAATTGAAGTTTCTTCCTCGTGTTCTACGAAGCTTTCACACATAAGCAGCAAGTGCTTTTCTGGAGGAAGAACCTTTAAAATTAATCCCTTTCTTGAGACAGTCTTGAAGCTGGATTGATAGAACAAGAGGGCAATTAGATAGACATCATCATAGCTACAAGCACCACTGTTATTTCACGAGGGCTCGAAGAGTGCGTCTACGATATAGGGTTTAGGGTTTAGTGTTTATGATTTGCTGAGGAACAATAATTGAGTCTCGGTCCTGTACCAGCTCGTATATGCAAGCTTCTTTGAAAGCCACTGGGCTTGTCTTAAAGAGAAACCTGTGAGGGGAATGCTTTGTCTACGGCATATGAACGCATAGTCTTACTAGCGTTGTTGCTTAAGAGTGGTTGCAAGGGGAATATTTGGAGAATTATCCTACATATTGCGGCACATACCTCCTCTGCCCGTACTCTCCCCAGAGAAGGTCCAGAGACACTGCTCTCTGCATGCGGTCGATGAGCATTGCCACAAGTTGAATTGAGAGGATTTGCACATCCATAGCACACAAATAAGGCGCTTGCAGACATTCAAACGAACTAGTTAGAATGGCATTTCCCTCCTCCCTTCTTTGTATTAGCATGAAACTGTATGCGTGGGACCAACGTAAGCAGAATATATTCTTTTTTAAGGGTTTTTCTCGTCTGCATGCGACTATCTGAGGACTGGTCCAATAAAATACATACTTCTCAATCACACACACTTCACGCTTCTTTGCCAGACTTGATATATCTATGCACGATTGCACCCCCACTACTCCCGAAGACAATTTGTATGCCTGTATTCAGTTTATACGACTTTTAGAGCTACAAGCGCTACCTTCCTCATTAATTCAAGTGATCTAAACACCGCCGTTTCGTATTTTGAATACTTTAAGGTTGTACGTTGCCCCTAGACAAGGGAGACCGCTGATAGCTGGAGCAGACGCAAACAAATTCAATAAATATTATTCTCCTATTGAAAAATTTATGCTCTAAGCAGTTCTTATACCTTCATACCTTGTCACCTTGTCTCCACGTGTAGCGATAGATTGGCACGGAGACAGTCCTGGGGTTCCTGCCACCGACTTAGATAATAAAGAGTGAATAAGCAGATAATTGCAAGAACAGCAGCAGCTCTCCTTGCTGTAATTGTCGTTACAAGCAGGTCAAAGTGCCACCAAACCCAAGCTCCGTTATTGTATGCATGCACCCTGCACTAATTTGTTCCCTCAGCTCTCATTAGCCACTTCGCAGAAACCGTGCATGCGGCGCGACATACCAATACGGATAATAATACACTCGAATATACAGCTAACACAGAGAGCGCTACAGACAAGGAAGGGTTAGGCACAGTACGCATTGCGGATTAAAGGAAGTCATCTTTCTTTTCTGCTGACCTTGTTAGCTCCAAAGGAGTCGTAAGCCTTAACGAAATATCATATGTGGGTATTTACACGCCTGCTTGCGTTTTGAGCGCAATGCCTTCAAGTGTTGCAGCACTGCTCGTTGCTGTTGCTCTTGCTGTCGGTGCTGTAAGACAGACAACCGTGATGAATGCATGCACGACCAAGAATTCTGTGCTGCACGCATGCGCGCTGTACACAATTGCTGAAGAGTATTACTTGCATGCAAGATACCTACTACGACAGAAGCCACAAGATCATTTTCTCAAGTCTCCAGAGGAGCTGTGATACAGCTGTGCTGCATCACACCTGCAACACAGTTGTGTCTGCTCTTCCTTCTGCTACAGGATGAAGAAGATGAGGAAGGAGTGAATATATAAAGGGGAAAATGTTGCAGATGATGGCGGAGTTGTGGCAAAAATCAAAGTCAAGAAGTGGCCCCACAAGACAACGGTCACTTTTGGCGGTTACACAGGAGAAGTGTGTGTTCCTGTTTTGTCCGTTCCTTCTACATACAATTTACTTAATTAATAAAATTATAATAATTTCTTATTGCTGCTGCAAAATGTCACGGGGAAGGCCAACAGTTCGATTGCGTTGCGCCTCTTCATCTCTCTACAACCCATGTGTATTTGAAGTTTAGGGGTATATTGCAGTTGCGGTGTTAGAGCATGCCTCCTTGATTTAGAGATAAACGTGCATGAAGAATGAATAAAATAGTATTTATTTACTAAAGAAAACGGTTTAAATAACTACAATCATTGCTCCTTTACACCCGGTTTGCTGCGGTCTTCTACTGCACGGCCGGCCTCGACAGCCACAGCCCCTTCTTCCCTGTATTGTCCTACGTATACAATTCAAGTTTGGCTTGTTGTATGTACTGAAAGGAGGATATTTCGTGTTTAAATGAAGGAATTGGTCCTTTAGGTTTTAATACATCTTTTTCCTCTTATTAAGGGGGTATTTCTGCGTCGAAGGCACAGCGGAGGAACGACAACCACACAGAAGACAGTTCTTAAGCCACAGCAGCAGTCCTTTATGTAGAGTGTTGCGGTGTATATACACATCACAGAATAGGAGAGGGCCTCGTCTCTGTCTCGATATAAAGGAATTCATAATTGTACAGGCCATAGTGGAGGCATACGCTTGTCTTCCCGCTATCTTCTTGCATACTCTAAAACCCCTCTGGGGACGGCGTCGTCTTGTCGGCGGGCGGCGTCTCCTCGAGGGTTTACTGTTTGGGGTTTAGGGTTTGCATTAGATTGAAGGATTTAGGCCTTAGGGTTTGGGTTTTAGGCTTTAGGGTTGCAGCAGGATGCCAGTTGCAGCCAACGGGGCGCCTGTGGCGTCAACTCTGTCTACTAGTATTCTTCTTTTCTTCTCCTCTCTCTTGGTTGCAGCAGCAGCATCAGCAGGGGCATCAGTAGTAGATTCATCAACAACAGCAGCAACAGCAGCAGCACCACCACTTGTTACTGCTGACCAGCTGCAGCAAGATGCAGGGGAGGATGCCGAGGAACCTGCCTGTACCACCGGCTTGCGGGACGCCATAAATGCGGCAATCACCCATATTCAAGGTTCGCAGGGTTTAGGGTTTAGGGTTTAGGGTTTATGGTTTGGGGAGATGTAGGGTTTGGACTGGAGTTCGTTGTTCCTCTGTCTTGACGTCTGCTATCTCTTAAGCAACACCATCAACGGCAGCATCTCTGAGGGTTTAGGGTTTAGAGTTTAGGGTTTAGGGTTTAGAGTTTGCTGTGGTGGCTGTGTGTTGCTTGCCTTTGTCTTGACCTTTCCACGGGCAACAAGAGCATCAACATCATCAGCAGCAGCAGGAGCAGCAGGAGCAGCAGGAGCAGGAGCAGAAGGAGCAGCCCATTTTTGTCGATTTAGGGTTTAGGGTTTAGGGTTTATGGTGTATTGTTTGTTGTATGCAGCGGAGCACTATATCCCTAGTGAATTAATGCAACGTTATAGGAAAGTCCCTTATGTTCCTTTATTATTATGTCCTTTATTGCCTGCTTCCTCTGAGGCAACTTATTGGCCATCATTATCTTCTTTGCATCCATCAGATCTTCTTCTTAAGGTATTAGATAGAAATACACTTCGTGTTGCTTCTTATGGTGTACCTCCGCAGCAGCAGCACCCTGAGGGGCCCCTTAGGGCATTTAGGGGTTATGATTGGGGAGAAGAAGCAGATTATTCAAAGGATCCACCACGTGGTATGTCCTCATCTACGATCTAGGGTTTAGGGTTTAGGGTTTAGGGTTTGGGGTCTGATGACGAATACTGTCTTACTACTTAGGTGGTTTAGGAATGAATAGGAATTCTGTTTATTGTATAGTATTTATTGTTTTTTCTGTGCTGAGGCACCAACGATTTAGGGTTTAGGGTTTAGGGTTTAGGGTTTAGGGTTTAGGGTTTAGGGTTAATTGTGCAGGTTATTTTCCGGATTATTTACGTCATTTAGCAGCAATAATATCATTACATTATGGACGTCCAGTTTCTGTTCAATGGATATTTTATGTAAATGGGGCTGCATGCTTGCATGCAGTATTAAAAGGAGAGGCAGATATGACGGATATATATTTCTTGCAATCTGTACCTGATGATGATTCATTAAAAGCAGTAAATAGTACTCTTTCTTCTCCTCCTCTCCCTTCTCCTCCTCCTTCTTCTTCTTCTTCTCCTGTTGCTGATTCTCCTGCTGCTCCTGCTGGTGCTCCTGCTCCTGCTGGTGAAGGAGATTCATCATCATCATCAGCAGCAGGAGCAGGAGCAGGAGCAGGAACAGGAACAGGAACAAGAAATAAATATAATAAAATTATACATTCACGTATAGAGGCAGCAAATAATGGATTATTAGGTGCATATTTTTATAGAACTTGTCCTGTTGTAGGTGCAAGTACAGTATTTATAACAAGAAATAATTTTAAGGTTAATACATTAAAGGATATTATTGTATATTTACGTACAAGAAATAAAATACAATCTATTCCTGTTGCTTGTCTTACTCATGCTAATCAAAAATTACTTGCTTTCCTTCTTCCTCCTAATACACCTTTTGTTGTACTTAATAGTAAGTTTATTAACCCTTTAGGGTTTAGGGTTTAGGGTTTAGGGTTTAGGGTTTAGGGTTTGTTGGGGTTTACTGTATTGTTCCTGTTATATAGAATATTATTACTCTTGCTCATTTATTTCCTTATTACTCTTTTATTCTTTTATTCTTTTTTTCTTTTTTTTCTTTTATTCTCTTTTTTTTTTTTATTAAATTATTTTTTTATGCAAATTATTTTTCTTCTTGTGTTCTTCTTGCATGCGCTGTTTCTCTTCTTCTTCTTTCTTGTATTTCTTGTTAGTGTACTGAATTTCCTCTTTTGCTTATTATTTTAATTTAATTTATTAATTAAATTATAATTTATTATTTATTTATTTATTTATTTATTTATTTATTATTAATGTGCTGCAGAGAAGACGGCATTAGATGCTGTACGTAGTGGTGAGGTATTGGGCTTATTTATGACGGGTACACCAAGAGAGGAGGAGCTAATGGGGCTGCATGCAATAAATACAAATTTATTTTCCTCTATGGGTCCTTGGTTACGGCGTACAGACACTGCAGCATGTCTAGCTCATAGATTTCAGACAGATAAGGCATTGCTGCAGGCAGCAGCAGCAGCAGCAGCAGCAAATAGTAACCAACAGATGCAGCTGCAGCAAGTTGACGGAAATAATTCAGCAGCTAAAGCTGCTGCTGCTGCTACGTCTGCAACTACTGCTGCTGCTGCTGCTGCACTTACAGCAACACTAGCTACAATCCTCTTTGCACTATAAGACATCGCATGCAGCAGCAGCAGCAGCAACACGCAACAGGTAATAAACACAGTGCTGCTGAGCTGCTGCTACACCGACACACCGTCTCCCGCTTGCCGGTTTTGCTGCACCTGCAACAACGCTACCTGCTGCATCTGCTGCAGCAGCAGCAACTGCAACTGCAGCAGCAGCAACTGCAACTGCAGCAGCAGCAACTGCAACTGCAGGAGCAGCAATTGCAACTGCAGCAGCAGCAATTGCAACTGCAGGAGCAGCAATTGCAGCACCCGCAGCGGCACCATCAGCCATAGCTGCAGCCTCCGCTGCAGCATCAGTACAACTACCACTACAAGCAGCGCCAGCAACTGCAGCAGCAGCAGCAGCAGCAGCGCAAGCAGCTGTACAGTTGAGGGGAGGGAGCCTTCCTTCGGCAGCAAAGAAGGACGGAGGAAATGTTCGTTTGTTTGTCTTTTTTATTCTTTTTTCCCCCCTTTTTGTTGCATTATAATTATATACACTATATATATATTATAATTATATAATTATATATTATTATAATTATATACTTATATTTATATATGCTATGTATATATACATAAGAAGGGAGAGAATATAGACAAGGAAGAGGAGACGCGAGACTGCTGCTGTGCATGCAACCAAAGACACACTAACACCCGAAGCAGTAGCAATGACAGCAGCAGCAGCAGCAGCAGCAGCAGCAGAAGTGGGGATAGCGAAGTAAGCTGGAGAAGCCGCTGCAGCAGCAGCAGCAGGAGCAGGAGCAGCAGCTCCTGCTGCAGCAGCTGACATCGCAGAAGCAGCATCAGCACCAGCTACTGTAGTAACACCAGCAGCAAAAGCAGCAGCAGCAGCAGCAGCAGCAGGAGCAGAAGCTACTGCAGCAGCAATTAAGTAAAAGTAATAAACAGACGAATTGAAAAAGATAAAAGACAAAAGTGACAAAGGTTGAGGTGTACGTACACTCCAATCAATAAGAGAGAAGAGAGGAGAGCTGCCTATACACCTGAATCCCTCTATGCAACAAACAAAACAAAATAAGATGACATATGCTGCTGCTGTTTATGTATGACATATAAATCCTGATATATCTATCAGGCATGCTGCTGCTGCTGCTGCTGGTGCTGCTGCTGCTACTGCTGCTGTTGTTGCTGCAGTAGGGGTAGAGTTTCCTCTGCTGCAAGGGTTATTGCTGCTGCAGCTGCAACGATAGGAATTGCTGCTTCTGCAGCAGAGTCGCTTGCTGCTGCTGCTGCTGCTGCTGCTGTTGCAACGAACAAGCAATGGCAAACATAAAAATCAAACACTGCTGCATGCATGCAGCCCCCAAATATAATATGGGTAGTCTGCAGTAGCAGAAGCAGCAGCAGCAGCAGCAGCAGCAGAAGCAGCAACAGCAACAGGAAATAAAGAAAGATATACTACTGCTGCTCTTGCTGCTGCTGCTGCTGCTGCTTCAAGCGCTGCAACAGAGAGGAGACACAATAGACCTGAGACCCTCGCCACGAATGTGTGCGACAGCAGCTGCAGCAGCAGCAGCAGCAGAAACAGCAGCAGCAGCAGCAGATACAGAAGAAAGGTAAAAAGCCAATCAAAATAATTATAAATTTGTCGTGGTCCTCTCTACAGCTCCAATAACTAGGGTTTAGGGTTTAGGGTTTATTAGGGTTTAGGGTTTATTAGGGCTTATTAGGGTTTAGGGTTTATTAGGGTTTAGGGTTTAGGGTTTAGTACTCCTCATTGGGTGGGCAGCAGCAGAATGATCAAAAGTCTGCGGTGCTCTCTGTAGGGGAAAGCCCAGCAGCAGCAACAACAGCAGGAGCAAGAGGTGACGTTGGTGCTGCAGCACAAATAGCAGCAACAGCAGCAGCAACAACAGCAACAACAGCAGCAGCAGCAGCAGCAGCAGAAACAGCACCGTGAAGGGCATGCAGAAAGAGGGGAGGGCTGCTGCTGCTGCCTGCAGCAGCAATTTCTGGTTGTTTCCTTCTGTTGCTGCTGCTGCTGCATTAGACCTACCGCTATCCTTCTCTGGCCGCTGCATCTGCTGTTGCAGCAGTGTCTGCTGCAGCTGCTGCTGCAGCAGTTGGTGCTGCAGCAGCTGCTGCTGCTGCAGGAAATCGGGGAACTCAAAGTCGTCGTCGTCGGGATCGTCTCCCATGTCTGCCCATCGTTGCTTCCTAGGTGGCTCTGCTGCTGCTGCTGCTGCTGCTGCTTCTCCTTGCTGCTGCTGCTGCTGCTGATCCTGCTGTGGTTGCTCGTCGTCCTGATGCTGCTGCTGCGGCTCATGCTGTTCCTGTTCCTGCTCCCCACGTTCCTCCGCAGCATCCAGCCAACTGCTGCTGCTGCTGCTGCTGCTAGGCTGATGCGGAGGCTCCTCTTCTTCCTGCTGCTGTTCCTGCTGCTGCGGTGAAATATCCTGCTGCTGTTGATGCTGCTCCTCGAGCTGCTGCTGCTGATGGTCGTGCTCCTGCTGCATGCGCTCCTGCTGCCTCTTGTCTTCATGCTGCTGGTATGGCTGCGGCACCTCCTGCTCTCGCTCTTCCAGCTGCTGCTGCTGCTGCTGCTGCTCTTCAAGCTGCTGCTGCTTCTGCTGCTGGTGGTGCTGCGCTTCGCGCTGCTCCTCCTCCTCCTCGAGATGCTGCTGCTGCTGCTTCTCTTCGAGCTGCTGGTGCTGCTCCTCTCGTTGCTGCTGCTTGTATTGCTCTTTGCGCTGCTGCTGCTGCTGCTGCTGTTGTTGCTGTTCTGGGGAATCATGTTTATGCTGTATCGTCTCATCTGCTGCAGCAGCCTCTAGCTGCTGCTGCTGCTGCAGTGACACCGAAGCAGCGTCTTCGTTACATATTGAGCCAACAGATTGCTGCTGCTGCTCCTGCTCCTGTTCCTGCTGCCGCTGCTGCTGATTGTCGGCGGGTTCCTGGTCTGCGTGCTGCTGCTTATGCTGCTCCGCTGCAGCCGCGCCACTCTCCTCTGCCTGCTGTTCGTGCTGCTGCTGCTGCTCGTGCTGATGCTCGCGGCGCTCCTCCAGCTGGACCTGCGGCTTATCGTCAAGCTGCTGCTGCTCATGCTGCTGCTGCTCCTCGTGCTGCTGATGCTGCTGCTCTTGCCGTTGCTGCAGCTGTTGATCCTTCTCCTCTCGTTGCCTTTGCAGATGGGCGTCGTGCTGCTGATGCTCGTGCTGCTGCTGCTCATGCTGCGGCTGCTCATGCCGTTGCTGCTGCTGATCTTCCTCCTCAAGGTGCCTCTGCTGCACGTCATCAGGCTGCTGCTGCTGCTGCTGCTGCTGCTGCAGCTCTTTTGGCTGCTCCTGCATGTGGTCTTCGCCAGCATTCTCTGCATCGGACACCTTCGGGTCTTCCTCAGCAGGTTGCTTCTGCTGCTGCTGCTGCTGCTGCTCGTTCTGCTGCTGCTCTGCTGCTGCTTCATGTGTCTCCCTCTGCAGTTCCTCTTGTTGCGCCTTCTCTTGCACGGGCTGCTGCTGTGTCTGTGGAGTCTGCTGCTGTTCATTGTCTTGCTGGTGCTGCTGCTCCACTCGTTTCTCCTGGTGCTGCACCTGCTGCTGTGGCTCGCGCTGCTGCTGCTGCTGCTGCGGTTGCTGCTGCGGGGTTTGCTGCTTTTGCTGCTTATGGGGAGAAGCTGCAGGAGTCTCCTGTGATTGTCTGTGTCCCCCAACAGGAGTTTGCTGTTGTTGTCTCTGCTGGTAGTTCTGTCTCTGCTGCTGCTGCTGCTGCTGTGGTTGCCGCTGCTGCTGCAGCGGCGGCGGCGGAGGAGGTGGCGGGTGCTTGGGTCTACCAGACTCCCTGTAGGGGCCCCTCAATGGGTCTGCATGCTGCTGGTGGTGGTGGTGCTGCTGCCTCTGCAGATTTAGGGGAGGAGGCAGGGGCCCCCCTCCAGGGTATGATGTGCCAATGATGCGGCATGAAGCAGCAGCAGCAGCTGCTGCTGCTGCTGCAAGTTGATGCTGTGAGGGTGATGCTGCAGCAGCTGCAGCAGCTGCAGCAGCAGCAGGATCCACAAAAGGAGCTATCTCCCCTAGGTACTGCTGCTGCAGAAATAATTGATAACTTAGATCAGGATTAGGTTGCATGCCCCTTGGGGGCCCCCATCTATCTTGCTGCTGCCTGCTCATGATACCCATGTGTCGAGGATCTGCTGCTGCTGCTGCTGCAGCAGCAGCAGCAGTTGCAGCAAAATATCGAGCTGCTGCTGTTCCAGGAGGAGCAGCAAATGCAGCAGGATGAAAGGGAGGAAGCACAAAACCCTCAGCAGGAAACGGCATGCTGCTGCTGCCGTTGTTGCTGCTGCTGCTGTTCATGGGGTTCATGCTGCTGATGCTGCTGCTGCTGCTGCCTGGATTCAACAGACGGCCTCTGCCACGACGAGGAGGAAACGAAGGCTGCATGCGATTTGCTTCTGCTGCAGATACACCTGGATACGGGCCCCGACCCCAAGGAGCAGCATCTGCAGCAGCAGCAACAGCAGCAGCAGCAGCAGCAGCAACTGTAGGGGGTGCATAGCAGCAAGCATCAGCAGTAACGCAGCAGCATAAACAGCAGCAAATGTGACTGATCTAGCAGCAGCAACGGCAGCACCAACAGCAGCAACAACAGCAGCAGCAACGACAGCAACAGCAACAACACCCACAACGGGTAGCTGTTGCTGCTCCTACTTGCCTGGATGTCCCATTTGCATATGCTGCTGCTGCTGCTGCTGCTGTCCATGCATGCGCTGTTGAGGGCGGTAGTTGTACTGCTGCACATTCCATGGGCTGCGTCTCCCCCTCATGCTGCTGCTGCTGCTGTTGCTGCTGCTGCTGCTTGCATGCGCTGCATCTCCCATCTGGCGTCTTCTGCTGAAACCTGCATTGCCTTGCTGCTGCTGTTGTTGTTGTTGCTGCTGCTGTTGCTGCTGCTGTTGCTGCTGTTGCTGCTGCTGCTGCTGACGCGGATTTGAGGGGCCAGGGAGGGGCCTCAAGACAAAGCTGCTAGTAGCGTTGCTGCTGCTGCTGCCGCTAGGAGTGACTGCCTGCTGCGTGCTAGCCCGCCTATTCCCAATGCTGCAACAGCAACAGCAACAGCAACAGCAGCAGCAGCATCAGCAAAAGCAGCAGCAATAGCAGCAGCAGCACCGGCACTACCACAGCCTTCTGCAGAGCCCCTACGGTGTAGCAGCTTTCCCACAGTAGCAGAAGAATCAACAGCAGCAGCAGCAGCAGCAGCAGCAACAACAGCAGCAGCAACAGCAGCAGCAACAGCAGCAGCAACAGCAGCAGCAGCAACAGTAGAAGCACCAACAGCAGCAGTAGCGTACGCTGCATTAGAGTTCTTCCTTCCCCTCATTGCTGCTGCCTTCCCTAAGGGAGGCCAATGTGCTTCTGCCTCTCCTGCTGCTTCTGCTGGTGTTGATGCAGTTGCTGCTGCACTTGGAGGTGCAGCAGCAGCAGCAGAACGGGCAGCAGCAGGAGAAGAAGTAGCAGCAGAAGAAGGAGCAGCAGCAGGAGCAGCAGGCCCTCTCTCCTTGGATGAGTTCCTCTTGGATGTGCCTTCACGAGAACGACCTCCTGCTGCACCTGTTGCTGCACCTGCTGCTGCTGCTGCAGCTGCAGGTGATGCTGCTGCTGCAGGTGATGCAGGTGATGCAGCTCCTTGTGCAGCATTAGCAGCAAGTGCACCTTCTGCTGCTTCTGCTGCTGCTGCTGCTTCTGTGGGGCTTCCCGATTGCCTTTCAGAGATTCTACCAGCAGCGCGGTGGCCGCCCTGCTGCTGCTGCTGCTGTTGCTGCTGCTGCTTCTTCTGCGGCTGCTGCTTTGGCTGCTGAGGCTGCTTCGGCTGTTGCTGCTGCTCCTGTTGCTGTTGCTGCTGTTGCTGCTGCTCTAGCTGCTCTGGCTGCGGCTCTGGCTGCTCTGGATGCTCTAGCTGCTGTTGCGGCTGCTGCTGCTGCTGCTGTTGCTGCTGCTGCTGCTGTTTTCCCCTACGGCGAGTTCTTTTACGTTTTTCTTCCGTGGCCGTCCTTGGCTCCTGCTGGCCCTCTGCAGCAGCAGGACCTGGCTCTGCTGCTGCTGCTGCTGCTGCTGGAGATGTACGAGTTGCAACTGCTGCTGGAGATGTACGAGTTGCTGCTGCTGCAGCTGGAGACATGCGGGTTGCTGCTGCAGGTGCTGCTGCTGCTGGAGACGTACGAGTTGCTGCTGTAGGTGCTGCTGCTGCTGGAGACGTACGAGTTGCTGCTGCATGCGCTGCTGCTGGTAGGGGTAACGGGGTTGCTGCTGCTGCTGCAGCAGCTTCTGCTGGCGCCAATGGTGAAGCTGCAACCGGCGACTTAGGAGCTGCTGCTGCTGCTGCTGCGGGCGATCCATCGTCTCTCTTCCTATCCGCAGCAGCAGCAGCTGCAGCAACCTCAGCAGCAGCAGCAGCAGCAGCAGCTTGCTCTGTATCTTGTGATAATTGTGCTGCTGCGCTTCGATTGGCCAATGCTGCCTTCCTGCTTCTTTTTCCTGCTGCTCCTGCTGCAGCAACAGTTGCTGCAACCTCTGCAACTGCTGCTGCTGCCTCTGCTGCAGCACGAGAGGCAGCAGCAGGTATATGTGTATGTGGCTGCTGCCTCTGGTGTTGCTGCTGCCCTGCAGCAACAGCAGCAGCAGCTGCTGCTACACCCGCCAATGCAGCAACTTCCCTCGCACTCATCTCTACTAAGAAACGCCTATCCGAGCCACTGTCTGCTGCTGCTGCTGCTGCTGCTGTTTCTGGTGCTGCTAATTCTGCTGCTGCAACAGCTGCAGCAGCAGCCGCTGCTAGTGGTGATAGTGCTGCACGAGCAGATACTGCTGTTGCTCCTGCTGGTCGAGGTGCAGCTGCTGCTGGTGCTCCTGGTGCTGCTGCTGCTGTTGCTGCTGCTGCTGCTGCTGCAGCATGGCTTTCGCTTGTGTCAGAGTCATCCTGCAAGTCAATATTATGCTGCTGCTTCTTCTGTCGCTGCTGCTGCTGCTGCTGCTGCGTTTGCTTCTGTCGCTGCTGCTGCTGCGGCTTCTGTTCCTGCTGCTGCTGCTCGTGTTCCCGTTGCAGCTGCCGGTTGTGCTGCTGCAGTTGCTGCTCCTGCTCTGCAGTAGGGCCTCCTGTCTTCTTTTTCTGCTTTTCTTTCTGTTGCTGCTTTTCTCGCTGCTGCTGCTGTTGTTGCTTCTGCTGCTGCTTTTGCTGCTGCTGCTGCTGCTGCCGGGACTGCAGCACCGTCGGCTCCGTCTCTGTGCTGTCTACAGACTCTCCCCTGCTAGAAGCTCCGCTATCGTGCTGCAGTCTTGCTGCTTCTGCTTCTGCTGCTGCTGCTGCTGCTTTTGCTGCTGCTTCTTTTGCTGCTGCTGTTTTTGCTGCAGTTGCTGCTGCTGCTGCTCTTGATGTAGCTGGCTTGGCTGCACCATCCCCTGGCTTGCTGCGTTTTGCTGTTGGCGTCTCTGGAGTGGCAATTGCTGCTTCTGCTGCTGCTGCTTCTGTTGCTGCTGCTGCTGCCTCTTTTGCTTCCGCTGCTGCTGCTGCTTGTTTTGCTTCCGCTGCTGCTGCTGCTGGCGCTGCACGTCCCGCAGCCTTTGCTGCTGCTCGTGAGCGTTCTGCTTGTTGAGGACGGTGGTGGTCTTGCTCCAGCAACGGGGATTGCTGCTGCTGCTGCTGCTGCTGCTGCTGCTTCTGCTGCTTCTGCTGCTGCTGAGGCTCCTGTATATCCGGAAGGTTTTGCTTCTTCTGGTTCTTCTGCTTTCTTTGTCGGACACCCCCTTGCTGCTGCTGCTGCTGCTGCTGCTGCTGTTGTTGTTGTTGTTGTTGCTGCTGCTTCTCAGCAC